GGGAGCCAGTGGTCCTCATGTCCACTGCAGCCCAGCCTTGCAGCCTGCTGGGGGGAAGTCCCATGGGCACAAAAGGGAGCAGCCAAGATGGCGGCTGCCCCATCCCCCACAACTGATTGGCTGAAGACTACCTACCATATGGCTCCACCCCTGCACCAATCAGCAGAGGGGCAGGGCCACAAAACAGACAGCCCTCTCAGCCAGTCAGTGGCAAGGGGCAGGCTCACTGCAAAAAGGCCAGGAAATTGGCTCCATGCACTGTGAGCAGCCCATGAAAATCCCTTTTGCTCACTACAACTTGGGTAGATTCCTACTTGTTAGACATGCCACGGGTGCTACAATGAAAGTAACTTACACGCGGGACAGAACACCAGGTAAAACAACTAACAAGAATGCATGAAATGGGGTGATCACGGTGTTGACCTGTTTTAACTTACACTGTCCTGTTAGTTTCTTTCATCATCCTTATGCCCACAGAGTGAAATCCTAGCCCTATTGTTAGGTTTGACCTAGAAACCACTACACATAGCCCAAGCAAAAGTCTCTGTTCTGTAACTAATGCTCAATTGCAATGATAAGGAGAAGACAGTCTTAGATAAAGGAGACTTGAAAACAAAAACAGAATTAGTGGAGTAGGGCAAAGAGCTGATTTAAATATTAAGATTCACACCCCTAGGTGGGGAGAAAGTATGCTAATGAAACATACATGTATGGAAATGAGATACATAGCTAAAACACAGGTATAGAGACATGCGCAGTAAAGAACTCCTTGCGTCACTCCCTTATAACCAATTAGCAAACAAGAATGCTTATGAAGGTCCAATACTCCTGTATAAAAGATGCTCATAATTAAGACTCTGTGTGCTTGTTACGTGAAATTATTCCGCTTGCACCTTGTATTGCTAGCAATAAATCTTTATACTTTCACCCCTGGTATCTTTATTGGCTTTTGCATACCGGGCACGATCCCAGACTTGAGCTGGGGCTCAACACTATTACCAGAAACAATGCCAAGACTTCATTCTCAGTGTAGAAATGATACTCACTTTACAAACTCCCTGGATGTCAGCCTGGTATAAGTTATACCTGTTTTACTACTAACACCTAACAGGGGCCAGACTTTCAGAGGAGCTGGCCCCACTTTACACTTATATTTAGGCCATTAATACTTTGTCTAACATCAGTTAATAGAATTCCTAATTGCTTCATTTTTCCCAGTATGCTGCCAGTGTTGCCACTGTTCACTGTCTACATTCAGGCCCTGATGGTTCAGCACTACAAGATCTTTATCACTCAGACACACCAGGATTAGTATGATCCGTGCATTAATATCCAGTCACAGACCAGAAACAGCTGGGAGCTGCATAGAAGACCTTCTGGTGTCAAAACAGCTCCCATTAGCTCAGCCTTTTGATAGCCTCTTATTTAATCCAATAGGGGCTTGCTCTTTTTTTTTTTGGTTGATCATGTAACAAAATGTCTCTCATTCACTAGAGTATTTATTAATCAGTTAATGCCTTTCCTCTGGCACAGTGAGAAAGTGACCTCTTCCATCTCTACCTTTTTCAAAGCCATTCACTGCTGGAATGCTAATGCTCTGCTTGCAGCCAGCTCAGCAAGTAAGAACTGAGGGTACAATGACCTCATGTGGCAAATTCTGCACATAACTGCACATTTGATCTCACTATTATCACTAGTTAGAGGCTCTGCAGGACAATTCTTGCAAATAGGGGCTTTATCTCAAGATTGGAATCTATAGTAGGCATTATTTTCTGAGAAGGGGCTTCATGAGAAAGGGATGGTTTCAAGGGGACCGCTCTTTAGTCTAGAAACCTGGATGTAAAGAGGTTTGTTTCACTAATGGATTTTAATCCGATTAAAAAAAAATCTCTGCTGGCAATCTGGCAATATCTTTGGGCCAATTGCCCTTTCTATGCAGGCAAAAGAATATTGCACTGAAGAAACTATTAGTGCCTTTTTTATCCCTTAAAATATTTAGAGCAACATTTTCAATCTACCAGGCGCTGCATAAATATTAATTACCTAATCCTTACAAACCTCCTGGGAGGTACAGGAAATATCAATATTTTAGAGATGGAAAAATTGAAATGGAGAGTAGTTTTCTCAAGGTCACTAAGTCAGGAGAGGGGCTGATGACAGAACTCAGCAAACTTAACTCCCAATTATGCTTTACCCACTAAACATTTCTCTTCCAAGGGTTCCCTTTTCATGAGACAGGAAAATAATATGGCATAACGAAATTCAGATGAGGAATAGTAGACAGAGAGCCCATTTTCCTTTCTCATTTGTATTTAATAAACAGATTTATTTTCAAAAAAGACAATTCTGTATGTGGGAGAGGAACAGAATCAAGTCACTACTAATCACATTTCAAATGCAATTGAATCATGATGAAGCCTTCTTAAATAAGTGTATAGCAGAAAAACAATTAGTGTGTAAGCAATTAAGAAGAACTATGCTCTTTCTCCAAAACTAAATGAGCTGTAAACAGGAAACAGCACTATATTAAGTTAGAATCCATATAAAGATATAGCTACAGGAGGCTGGAAGTAATGCAAGATAATTACAAGCATACTGCTAAAGAGAATACCCAATGATTTGCAGTGATTAAAATATTGCTTGTTAATGTTTGAATCAGCACAACTGAAATGCCACTGTAAATCCCACCTCCCAATTTTGTTTTTGGGCTCCATGGATGCATCTAATAGACAAATCAACATAGAATCATAGAAAAATAGGGCTGTAAGCGACCTCAGAAGGTCATATAGTCCAACCCCTGCTAAAGGTAGGATCATCCTTGTCCAAACTATCCTATACAAGTCCATCTGATCTCTTAAAACAAACAATCCTCTCACAACTGCCAGGCACAATGCCCAAAAACACCAAGAACACCCTAACTGGGCACAGATAAAGCAGGGGGATGAAGCACTGTTGATGTCCTGCTACTGCAAAGACAGTAGTTTATTAAAATACTTGAGATCCATGAGGATCATGCCCCTTGTAATAGACAAAGGTACAAGTTCCCATAGCCAGTACCAATCAGACTGTGGGGTAAAATTCCTTCCTGGTCCCAAACATGGCAATCAGTTTAATGTCGAGCACAGGAGCAAGACCCCTAGACAGGAACCTCCAGGTTTCTACATCCCAGCAGGAGCATTAACATGTCTCAGTCAAAATCCCCAGTCTCAGTAGCAGCCAACTGCTAATGTATGTGTACATACATTTAGAAAATCTTGGTCCAAGTCTCTAAAAACAGAATAATGCAAGTCTTGGAAAACATTAAGGAAAAGAAAAGAACCACACATCTCTGAAATGCAACACTCAACACACTTTTGGTAATGTCCTTAAAAAGAGAAAGGCTTGTTTCCCCACCAGCCTAAATCCTGTAGCATACGAGCTTTAACATGCAAGTGTAAGAATTTAAATTGTAACCCACCAGATTACTTTCTCTAGTGTGAGGGGGTATAATTCATGCTATCAAAGAATGGTGTTACAATGGAGCCAAAAGTTTCATTCAGGGCCTGTACATTAAGATACCTGGCCTATGCCTTGAAGAGCTCACAGTAAAATTACAAGAGACAAAAATAGGGTTCAATCACAGGACAATAATCCTAAAATAAAAAACAAACAAACCAGTGGGGCAATAACTTGCTGCTCTCAGGTGGTACAAAGAATTGAACAGAGACAGAAACTGATCCACTGTTGGGGACACTAAGTCAGAGCTGAGCCGCAGGCTAGGCAGGAATATCTCCTCTCCTTCTGTATGCCCTGTCTACTTTACATCCAATTATTTCAGCCTTTTGTGCTGTCAGTCCAGAAGTCCAGCCCAAAACTGTAAAACATTTCTTACAGGATTTAAAACTGCTATAATGATTGGCTGAGACTTTGTGCATTTGAATTCAAACTTGGTTTTAGTGATTTTACGGAGCACTCTGGAACCAGCTGAATACAATCTGCCCTAGCCTCTGATGCAATTCATTTGGAAAAGCATTCATAAGAACATATCTATGGTAATACCTTAAAATTAGACTACTGTTTTTTAGTTTTATGATAACTAAGTCCAAGATCAACCTAAAGTCTGAAATGTTGGCGCTCATACCATAGAGATAATTGCAATATGATTTAGGTAAAAAAAAAAAAATAGATTGATATTTTGAGGTCTTCTGTTGTGTATTTTGTTAATATGAACTGAATTTTTGTCAATCTAGCTTTAAATTAACTCAGTTTCTTGAAGAAAGATCTTAGAGCAGTGGTGCTCAACCTTGTGACCTGGCAAGCTGGATGGGCAGTGTAAATCTATCCATGGGCTGAATCCAACTGGTGATCCCAATCTGGTGCCTAGGGCAGGCATGGCCCCACCTGGCTGTGTGGACAGGGCAGGGGGCAGCCTGGCCGGATCCAGCATGGGAAGTGGGGTGTAGTCCAGCCCTGCAGGGAAAAGAGGGCATGGCTTGGGCCCAATTTGGCTGTCCAGGGGGAGGGGGCATGGCTCAGCTCCAAGTGGCTGCAGAGGACTTGGGAACTTGGCAGTGGGGGAGGGTGGCAGTATTTATTGCCACTGTGCTCCCACTGCCAAATTTCCTGATGGGAAGCCTCATGGGACAGATGCCATGGCTCCACGGGCTGGAGACTGAGCACCCCATCCTAGAATGTTTCTTCCTTTTTCCCCTGAAGCTCTGGACAAGCCTGGAAGAAACAAAGAATTTGAAACTCTTTGAAAAAAAAGTGGTCACTAGCACTGCTTTATGACAACTGTCTCTGACTTTTGAAAATGTGCATATTTTCCATATGTGGAAAATAAGAAACCAGTAATGTAACACTTCAAAAATATTACAGAATGTGTATCCTCTGTGTAAATGAGGACTGTTGTCCTTAAGTTCAACTCAGTATAGTACTAATATATTGGTGACCTATATAGAGCTGTGACATCATACTGAAAAGTACTGATAATCTTAAATTCAATCCATGTTTATTTTTCAGTCAAAAGTTGGAAAAATCCAACATCATTTTTCATACAGTATGAGATTCTCTCTCAAATTAAATACAGTCAAAATAAGCACTATTTAAAAAAAATCCTCTTATAGTAAAATTTGTAATTATACAGATGACTTTTGAACACAGAGTTGGAAAAACTAATACAAAATACAATACATATTTAAAAATGTATCTGCACTATATGTTTTTTTCTGAACTTAGAAAAAAACAAGCCTCAATTACAAACATCAGTGCACTAAAAGTTGGTTGTTCCAAATTTTCCCCCTTCTCACTGCAAGATGACAAAAAAATACTGTCTAAACTGCACTGCCGAACATAGGAGATATGCCCAAAGTATCTGCAGAGTTAACAAGGGGGGATATTATTGAAAAAACAGGAATCTTCCACCACAACATCTAAGAAGTCATATAATAATATCTACAAATACACTGTTTAAAACCTGAGAACAATTTAAAGTTTTACCTTCCCTTTACAGTTCTTAATCTAAGGAACACTGTATTCTGCAAGAAAAGGATCTACTAGCTACCAAAGAGTTTCCCTAATTTCAGACCAAAATAATCAAATATGGAAAAGTTGGAAGAGTTACACAATCAAAATACTAAGTGCTTACAATAGCAAAATTCAAGTATCTTACTATACAGAACGGGACAACCGTAATAGATAAAAACTTACTAAAGAACACTGGATTCTAACCATGTGTGGGTTTGTATTTAAGTCATTATGAACAGAGCCCCACCAATCCTGTGAATTTATGACAATGTGGCATTTGCATATGTCACTATATGGTACTTCGTGATATGTTAATTCTATCAACATCATAAACCCCTTGCCCTTAATCATTTTCCATTTGGAGAGAGAAAAGTCTTCTGTAGAATATAGCAGACCCTCAGATTCCACCCCAAAATTCCCCAAAACACTGATTTCCTGGAAATTGTGCGCGCGCTGGGGACAAAACTGAAAAAGTGAAAACTTATTCCTCCAGTTCAAAACAAATTATGGACTCCCGGAGCCCTTTGAGACTCATAAACCCTACTGTCTAATGCTGAATAGGCTCACCAAGTTACAAAATTTTACGCAAACACATTTTTATAAGACACAAGATAGATCATTTGTTCTTCACAATTTGTTAAAGCAACAGTGCAGAATCTTGTCCTCTCCAAAGACTTTAATAAGAGCAAAATCTCCACTTCAAACCTTGAGCACACAGATGGTTGGAACAGTTTGGTTTTGCTTATTCTTCAAAGAGGATTACAAAGTGCTCAGAAATTCTTTGACCTGCAAAAGAAGCAAGAGTTTTTCATCAAATGAAGTATTTACAGATGCAAATATATAAGAAACATGTTCCCCTCTACTTCTTTGTGCTGCTATAAGGCACAATTACTAGGTAAAATAAAATATTATGGCTAACTATGCAATTCCATGACAACAAATTACACAGAAGGTTAAACTCCTGTAATGTACCAGGTGCAGGCAGCCATATATTGTAATATCGTGAAATTAGATAATGCTTCTAGTGGAAAATAACCAGGTTTCTTTAAGGCCCTGACCAACCTAAAGCTGGCAGAGAAGATAAGCACTGTGTCAAAACACACAAGTTCAGACAAGTAGTATTACAGGTATATGAACACTGCTGAATTACTCAATGCATTTCGACAAAAAAAAATGTTCTTCAGGATCAGAAAGATGCAAACACATTCCCCCTACCCCCAACAGAATCTCAGTACTTATAAAAAAAAACATGTCCCATAGCTTTATTCTGTATTGCAGGACCAGCACTATTCAATTAGCATTGGATTTCAGTTCCTAACTTCTTAAGACTAATTTTTTTTTTAAAAGGATGTAGGCACCTAAAGTAAGTGCTACAGCCTAGCCCCTGCAATGACATCCAGAGCTCTGACTGAGACTCTATGGCAGGGGCAGGCAATCCCCCAGCATGGATGCCACAGTGTGGCACACAAAGGCATTTGCTTGGCATGCATGCTTCAGGGCAGACAGCAGGTAAGGGGCTAAGGCTGCACTGCCACAACAAGGATTGGGCCCCTCACAGCTCCCTGCTATCTACCCCCAGCACATCAACATCTTACAAGTCAAGGTTGCGGGTGTTTTAGGAACTCTACCAAAAAAGGCTGCTGACCCCTGGCTTACAGAGAGAGTACAAGGAGAATTAGGTGCCTCCAAAAGGGAATCTAAGTGTGCTAAGCAGGGAGCCAGCTACAGCCAGCATGCTCTGTATGCAGCCATGAAGGACAGGAAAGTCTTATTCACAGTAGCAAGTACACATCAAGTCTACTAGCGATCTAGGTGAAGGTAGGAAACCACAGTCTTCTATCAGTATCAGAGCAAAAGGCACTGCTTTCTTTAATAGACAAACACTGGAAGAGGAGCAGGTGATGGTGCCCAGGCATCCCTTATACAAACATTTCTCAACCCAGGGGTCACAAGCCAAAAGTGGGTCACAAGAATGTATGAAAGGGTCTTGAACAGACTTTAAAAATGGATGATATTTTTCATACATTTTGGAAATAAAATAGATGATGCTTGTGCTCCACTATATGCTAATGCTGTGCATACTAATAAACAGGAATCTGGGTTTTCTGTTTGCTGCAGAAAAATTCATATTTTTTCCTTTAAAGGAGAAAAATGTGGGGAACTGTGGGTTTCCCCTTGTAGGCTGTCCCCTTGCAGGCTGCCAGCCCAAGGGGCTGCTTGCGTCTGGGGGGAGCAAGAGGATGGCAATCAGGCAGGGGGCACCACGTGCATGCATGCATGCATGCGGCAGCATGAAGAGCAACTCCTGCAGCTCCCCACAGGTAAGTCTGTGGGGCTGGGGTAGGAAATAGATGACATGTTGGGGGGGGGCGTGGGGGGGGCGGGGGGC